GGGGGGGGGGGGCTGGAAACAGAGCCCAGGGGCTCTTGGGTGAGGTCAAGGCTACAGACAGAGCAAGACGGAGAAATAAAATTGTGGGAGCAGATAAGATTTCTGAGGAAAAGGGTGGAAAGTAGAAGATGAAACACATTCCCGTGACTTGTCTTCCAGACTGCGCTAACCACATGGTCTGAGCAAGACCCATACTTCAGAGAAAGGACTATGAACCAGGCTTGCCCAGTCAGAGACGAACACATGACCCAAGTCAGCTCAACAAAAGTCAGCCACGGGGCTCCTGCTGGAACTAGTAGGGGAGGAAAATTCCTTCCTTTCCACTGGTTTTGAGGCTAGGAAGATGTAAGGGTAGAATTGGCTGGGTCACCAGGTGGCAGATGTCAAAGAAGGCAAACCCAAGAGGCGAAGGAAGATTGTGTCCTGTAACATTGTTCGAGCCCCTGGATCCAGCCATGCCTGAAGCTGCCCGTCGTCTGTTCTTTCAATCACATGAACCAATTAACACCTTGTCTTTGCCTAAGCCGATTTGAGGTAGAATTTCTGTCACTTACAACTAAGAGTCCTGATCTTCAGCTTTTCTGTTCTCTGACGCTGTCAAATGTGTTCTTTCCTACCTCTCTGCCTTTGCACAAGTTGTTCCTTCCACTTGGACTAGCCTAGGGGCACCCAGCATATATGAAGCAAACACACAGCAATTTCAGAGCCCCTGTCTGCTCCCCAAGGAAGAAGGCAGGGTCTCAAACACCGAATACTATCTAGCACAACGGGGCTTTCCGAGCTATGGAGAACTTGTGTGTGTGTGTATTGTTGTTTTTTCTCCTTTCTTTCTTTCTTTTTTTTTTTTTTTTGGTTGCTACAGAAATATCCCATCTCCTGGGCAATCCCTTGGATTTCTGTAAAAGAATAATATGCATTTGGCAGCCTGGGTGCTGTTAAAACACCCCCTGGCACGGCACACTTGCAGCCTCCCAGGCCCTTCGCTGGCCCGGGGCCCACCAGGCGGCAGGGAGGGGGGCAGGAGATGCAGGGCAAGCTGGGCCACCTCTCCCCCCCAGCAGCCTTCACCTCCAGCTGCTGCTGCGCCTCCCCAGGGTGGCTCCCTGACCCAGCTGCCTCCCCTGCACCGCCCCTTGCCCCCCAGGGGCTCTCATCTGCCCAGGGGCGCCCTGGGCCAGGCCTCCATGCCCCACGCCCTGCCCTCCCAGCAGGGCCCAGCGCTGCTTTCAGGTGGGACAGCTGTGGGGGTGGGATGCTCAGGAATATCTCAGGTGCCGGCTGGGGTCATGCTCTTTATTCCCATCAGATTTATTTCCTTGTTCTGCCCACTGGGCTCAGAGCATCCGTCTGAAAGCTTCAGCCCACCCAGGCCAAGAAAATTCATAACAATAAGAGCTGTTGTTGCTATGCCGATAGTAGCAACAGTAGTCGCAAAAAGAGCCACCGTTACTAGGCGTTCATCACGTGCCAAGTCGCACTGGCCGGCGGTCCCCCACCCGGCCCGTTCGCACCTTTCTTTAGTGTTCCTCTCCTTGGAGGATTGTCCTTGGGCAACTGGAGCCTGTTCTGCCATCTTCATTCAGAAAGTGCTGCCAACTTACATTTCCCTCTATGCTGTGGTCTGCCAGCAGCTGACCCGTGGCCCTGTCCTGTGGCTCTGGCTGTGACAACCCTGGGATGTGACCCACACTGCAGACTCACACTTGCCCCGGGGTCAAGACTATAGCTGCTCCCTGGGTGCTGCTGACATTGTCCCCTTAGTCGCCTTCCTCCCTTCCCTATCCTGCTTCCCAACGGCCTTACTCTCTCATGGGCATTTTCTTTATAAAAAACCTGCCCAGATCCTCATTTCAGGGTCTACTTTCAGGGAATCAGACCTCAGACACTAATATTTCCCAATCCTCCCAACAACCTTGCAAGGTCATGAGGTAGCACCCGTTTTACAGATAAGCAGACTTAGGCTCAGAGGGATTAAGCAACTGGTCCACACAGCTAGAGAGTGGTATAGACGGGATTCAAACCCAGGCCCCTCTGAGTCCAGGAGCCACCACGGGTAGAGAGCTAGGCTGGCAGGGGGAGTGGCCACTGTGTAATCATTCTCCACGCTCGCAGGGGCCCTCCGGGTGTGGGGCGCAGCATTCCCCAGCCATGGATCTCATCTAGCGTCCCAGACAACTCCTGACCCAGGATTCCTGCAAGGTGACGGCCACGAAAGGGGAGGGGGAGGGGGAGGCTTCAGTTCTCAGCAATCCCGAGCCCAGCTGGCCACCAGGTACGGTGGGAAGGAGGCCACAGGGAACAGCAGGTGGGTCTTGAGGACACTGGAAGCCAGGCCGGGAAGGTGGGCTGCACCCATGCTGCAGAGACAGGTGCCATCCTGAAGCTCTCAGCAAGGGAAACTTGTGCTGGGGCCGCTCCGGAAGGGGTGTGGGCGGGGAGGCCAGCTAGGGGCTTTTGCGCACTCCATGTGAGGGATGGTGGTAGCCTGGGTCGTGGCAACAACGGGAGTGGGGACAGGCGGGGAACCTGATGGCTCCCGAGGGGTGGGCTCGGCGGCCTGCTGACCATGAGTGTGGTGGTAGAGGAGAGGGAGGGGTCCAGAGGGGTGCCATGCTTCCAGCGTGGGCAGCTGAGAACGAGATGGTGCTAAGGCATGAAGATGTGGAGGCCGCTGGGCATGCGGCGTCTGTGCCAGCTGCAGGGCGTCCAGGAGGAAGCTGCCATGCCACTCCGGCAGGGCACAGGCGCTCACTAAATGCCCGCTGCGGCTGTCCACTAGACGGTAGCTGGAGGTACGGGAGGGGATGAGGTGCCCGTGAAAAGCATGTGGAGCAAAAGCAAAGAGTAGGAGGTGGGATCCGCTGAACATGAATAATCCAGGGAGGGGCTGTGGAAGGGTAGAGACACCAGGGGTGTGGCCCCGTCCCTGCCCACAGCGCTTCCTCTGAGCACATGCCCACCTGCCAGAGGGCTTGCCCTGGTCTAGAGCCCCCCCCTTGGCAGCAGGCGGGGGATTGACACCTCCCTGCCGTCACCCAGCAGCCCTCCCCGGGCCTGAGGGAGGGAGGGGGTGCTACCCCCAGTGGGCAACACGGGGAGGGAGGTGCTACCTGCGTGGTGTTAAGTGTGTTAAACCACAAGGTTAGAGTGAGAAAGCTATTCACTTTCCCATTAATTTTTAAATAACACCTCAATCAAAAGTCTCTATTTGATGCTAATGTGTCCTTAACACCTTTCCAGCACTTGTTAATTGTTTAAGACAACGAGAAGCTCAGAATCCTCAGCAGTCTCTAGACAGACTTGAAGAACATTTTGACAGTTACTTTCTGGCGGTGATCTCCG